CTGCTTTGCCTCTTGGTGAATTGTGCTATCATCCATCCATTATACAACCAGAAAACTGAGAGGAATTCTTGACATCTTATTCCTCACTCCTATATCTAATCACCAAGTCCTGATCATTCTCCCTCCCAAATATCTCTCACATCAACCCACCCTTCTCTCTCCATGACTCCTGAGTCCACTCTGTCTCCCCATCTAACAAGTCTCCTCACTACTGTATTTTCCTCCCCACCAATCTATTCTTTAACCATAGTCCAAGCAAGTTCTGTGAAATGAAAAGTCTAGTAATTTTATTTCCTTGCTTAGAATTCCTCAGAAGCTTTTCTGCTTCTCCTTCTTCTTCTCCCTCTCCTCCTCCTCCTTCTTTTTAAAGATAAAGACCAAAATCTCAAACTTAATCTGAAAGGCTCTTTATGGTTTCTTCCCTGCCTATTTCACAAGCTTCACCTCCTGCCACCTTTCCCCTTACAGCTATGCTCCAGCTTCCCTGACCTCCCAAACACACTCCTTCCCAACCCAGAGACTTTTCATATGATGTTTCTTCAATGACTCCCTCTTCAGGGAATGCTCTTTCCTATTCCTATAATTAATTTCTTATATTATTCTTCAGAGTCACTTAAATATTACTTTGTCAAAGAAGTCTCCCCTGAGACCCAGGCTATATTTGACTCCCTTGTACTACCTTAGGAGGAGTTTTTCTATGTTGAAATACCTATCATTCTTAAAAAATTTTTAAAGTTTTTCTATGTTGAAATACCTATCTATGTTTTTCTATGTTGAAATACCTATCATTCTGTTTTTCTATGTTGAAATACCTATCTATGTTTTTTTACGTTGAAATACCTATCATTCTTAAAAATTATATGATTATTTGTGTAATTATGGTTTAATGAGAGATTGTGTTCTTTCAACCAAAAGATCAACAACCAGGGGGGTAGATGGGTAAATTTTAGTTCACGGTATATGGTGAAATATTATGCAGTCATTAAAAATGATGTCATAGAATTTTAGGTAACATGGGAAATGTTTATGATGTTGAATAAAAAGAGGAATCAAAATTATAGGGACATTATGATTTTGATTATGTGAAAATATAGAGACTGAATATGAACTATGAAAGAAAAACAATGGAGGCATCTGGGTGGCTCCATCAGTTAAAGTATCTGACTCTTGATTTCAGCTCAGGTCATGATCTCAGGGTTGTGAGATCAAGCCCCATGTGGAATTCTGTGCTGGGCACAGAGCCTGCTTAAGATTCTCTTTTAGGGCACTTGGGTGGCTCAGTCGGTTAAGCGTCTGACTTCAGCTTAGGTTGTGATCTCTGGGTCCTGGAATTGAGCTCCGCTTCAGGCTCCCCAGTGGGGGGTGTCTGCTTGTCCCTCTCCCCCTGCCCCTCCCCCTGCTTGTGCTCTCTCTCTCTCTCTCTCTGAAATAAATAAAATCTTAAAAAAAAAAAGATTCTCTCTGTCCCTCTCCCTTTGACCCCCAAAACTAAAAATAAAAAAAAAAAAGAGGGCGCCTGGGTGGCTCAGTTGGTTAAGCAACTGCCTTCGGCTCAGGTCATGATCCTGGAGTCCCGGGATTGAGTCCCGCATCAGGCTCCCTGCTCGGCGGGGAGTCTGCTTCTCCCTCTGATCCTCTCCCTCTCATGCTTTCTGTCTCCCATTCTCTCTCAGATAAATAAATAAAATCTTTAAAAAAAATTAAAAAAATAAAAAAATAAAAATAAAAAAAAGAATAATTATGAAATGTGACAGAAGTGCTAATTATTGCTACAATGGCAATCATATTACAATATATAAATGTATCAAATTAACATGTTGTATACCTTAAATTTACACAATGTTGTATGTCAAATTATATTTCAATAAAAAAGACTGAAAAACATAAAAATTTTTATAGGTTTTTTTCTGCATGATTTTTTGGCTGATTTTCATTCTTTTCTTAACACTTCTTTGCTCATCTCCCCCAAAACATTATTTATTTTTAAATCAATGAGGAAAAATGAATAATTTTCTGCTAGAGAAAAAGTCTACTGAGTTCTAAAAAAACAAGTTTTTTTTAAAAAACAGTAATTTATAAGAGACAAGTAAGCCAATATGGTAAAATCAAATAGTTGAGTATAAGTTTACTGGATATTACAAACACCTCGTGGAAAATTCCTTTTATTCCTCTCTGACACACCAGAAAGTATTAACAGGCTGTAAACATCTATTGTTATTTTGCTTCCAACCTTATTGAAATATAATTAATAAGCATTGTAAATATTTAAGGTGTACAATGTGTTAATATGGGTATACACTGTGAAATGATCACCACCATCAAACTAACTAACACATCCATCACCTCATATAGTTACCACTTTTTTCTATGTGTGGTGAAGACATTTAAGATCTATTCTCAGGGTGCCTGCATAGCTCAGTCAATTAAGCATCTGCCTTTGGCTCAGGTCATGATCCCAGGATCCTGGGATCAAGCCCCTCAGCAGGGAGCCTGCTTCTCCCTCTCCTTCTGCCCCTCCCCTCCACTCATTCTCTCTCTCAAATAAATAAATAAAATCTTTAAAAAAAAAAAAGTCTACTCAGCAAATTTCAAATATACAGTACAGTATTATTAACTATAATCACCATGCTGTACATTAGATTTCCAGAACATACATTTTGTGTAACTGCAAACTGCATCATTTTGCAAACTTTGTATCCTTTGACCAGCATCTCTCCATTTCCCCCACTCCTCTGCCCCTGTACACCATCATTATACTCTCTGCTTCTATGAGTTCAACTCCTTTAGATTTCACATATAAATGAGATCAGGCAGTATGTTTTTCTGTGCCCAGCTTAATTACTTAGCATAATATCCTCCAGGTTCAATCATGTTGCTATAAATGACAGGATTTCCTTCTTAAGACTGAATAATATTCCATGTATGTGTATACATACATACAGCTGACCCTTGGACAATACAGGGATTAAGGGCACTGATCCCCCAAGCAGTCAAAAATCTATGTATAATTTCAAATCCCCCAAAACTGAACTACTGTACTAATAATCTACTATTTACCAGAAGCCTTACTGGTAACATAAACAGTCAATTAACACGTATTTTATATGCTATGTGTATTATATACTGTATTCTCACAATAAAGTAAGCTAGAAAAAAGAAAATTTTAGGAAAATCATAAGAGAAAATACATTTATAGTACTATCATGTATTAATTTAAAAAACTGTGTAAGTGGACCTATGCAGTTCAAACCCATGTTGTTCAACATTAACTGTGTATATATATATATATACACATTATATATATAACATTAACTGTATATATATATATACACATACATACACACACACACACATATATATCACATTTTCTTATCCATTCATCCATTGATGGACACAGGTTGATTCTATAACTTGGCTATAGTGAATAATGCTGCAGTGATCGGGGGAGGGCATATATCTCTTAGAGACACTGATTTCATTTCCTTTGGACATATACCTAGAAGTGGGATTGCTGGATCATATGGTAGTTCCATTTTTAATTTTTTGAGGAACCTCCATACTGTTTTCCATAATGGCTATACCAATTTACATTCCCACCAATAGTGTACAAGGGTTCTTTTTCCTCCATATGCTCACCGACACTTGTTATCTTTTATCTTCTTTATTTTAGCTATTGTAACAGATGTGAAGTGATATCTCATTGTGGTTTTTATTTGCATTTCCCTGATGATTAGTGATGTTTAGCATTTTTTATATACCTGTTGTTCTTTTCTTTGTTTTTTTTAATGTTAGCTCTTACTTTTATTATTTATGCAATGTCTTTTTTGCTTTATTTTTTAATTTAATTCACATTCAATTAATTAACACATAGTGTACTATTAGTTTCAGAGGTACAGTTCTATGATTCATCAATTGTATATAACACCCAGTGCTCATTACAATACGTGTCCTCCTTAATGACCATCACCCAGTTACTCCATCTCCCCACCCCCTCCCCTCCAGCAACCTTCAGTTTGTTTCTTATGGTTAAGAGTCTATTATGGTTTGTCTCCCTCTCTGATTTCATCTTGTTTTATTTTTCCCTCCCTTCCTCTATGCTCCTCTGCTTTGTTTCTTAAATTCCACATATGAGTGAAATCATGATTGTCTTTCTCTGATTGACTTATTTCATTTTGCATAATACCCTCTAGCTTCATCCACGTCATTGAAAATGGCAAGATTTCATATTCTTTGATGGCCAAGGAGTATTCCATTGTATATATATACCGTATCTTCTTTATCCATTCATGTGTCAGTGGACATCTTGGCTCTTCCCGTAGTTTGGCTATTGTAAACATTGCTACTATAAGCATTGGGGTACAGGTGCTCCTTTAGATCACTACATTTGTATCTTCGGGGTAAATGCCTAGCAGTGCAATTGCTGGGTCGTAGGGTAGCTCTATTTTTAACTTTTTGAGGATCCTCCATACTGTTTTCCAGAGTGGCTGCACCAGCTTGCATTCCCACCAGCAGTGTAAGAAGGTTCCCCTTTCTCTGCATCCTTGCCAACATTTGTCGTTTCCTGACTTGTTAATTTTAACCATTCTGACTGATGTGAGGTGATATTTCATTGTGGTTTTGATTTGTATTTGCCTGATGCCAAGTGACGGGGAGCATTTTTCATGTGTCTGTTGCCCATTTGTATGTCTTCTTTGGAGAAATATCTGTTCAGGGGCGCCTGGGTGGCTCAGATGGTTAAGCGACTGCCTTTGGCTCAGGTCATGATCCTGGAGTCCTTGGATCGAGTCCCACATCGGGCTCCCTGCTCAGCGGGGAGTTTGCTTCTCCCTCTGACCCTAACCCCTCTCATGTGCTCTCTCTCATTCTCTCTCAAATAAATAAAATCTTTAAAAAAAAAAAAAAAGAAATGTCTGTTCATGTCTTCTGCCCATTTATTGATTGGATTATTTGTTCTTTGGGTGTTGAGTTTGATAAGTTCTTTATAGATTTTGGATACTAACCCTTTATCGGATAAAACATTTGCAAATATCTTCTCCCATTCTGTAGGTTGTCTTTTGGTTTTGTTGACTGTTTCCTTTGTTGTGCAAAAGCTTTTTATCTTGATGAAGTCCCAACAGTTCATTTTTGCCTTTGTTTCCCTTGCCTTTGCAGACATGTCTAGCCAGAAGTTGCTGTGGTCGAGGTCAAAGAGGTTGCTGCCTGTGTTCTCCTCTAAGATTTTGATGGATTCCTGCCTCACGTTTAGGTCTTTCATCCATTTTGAGTTTATTTTTGTGTATGGTGGGAGAAAATGGTCCAGTCTCATTCTTCTGCATGTGGCTGTCCAATATACCTGTTGTTCTTAAAGTGCAACAAGGATGTGAGTGGCCTTCTCAAAATATGGACTATAGGGCACGTGGGTGGCTCAGTCATTAAGCATCTGCCATCAGCTCAGGTCGTGATCTCAAGGTCCTGGGATCGAGCCCCATATCGGGCTCTCTGCTCAGCAGAAAGCCTGCTTCTCCCTCTCCCACTCCCCCTGCTTGTGTTCTGTCTCTCGCTGTGTCTCTGTCAAATAAATAAATAAATAAAATCTTTAAAAAAAATATATGGACTATATATCTCTGCCAAGGAATGAAAACTTACAGTATTTGAAAATTTCCCATGAAAATTTCCTTTTTGTAGAGTTCTACTTGCTTGACTTTTTAATGTTTATATTAAAGAACTGAGGAAAAGTCATCCCTCACTGACTCATATAAGGTAAGTAGGCCCTGCTTCCTCTCAATCAATGCTTAAAACAGTTGCCAAGGTAGTTCTGTTAAATGTTAGTTGGCTCATGTCAGTCCTCTGCTCAAAACTATTCAGTAGTTTTTCATCTAACTCTGAAGAAAAGGAAAATGCTCAAAGTGGCACAATGTAATCTGGTCTCTGTTACCCTCTCACCTCATCTCCTACCACTCTCACTCACTCACCTGGACCTCTTTTATCTACCGCCCCCCCCCCCCCCCCCCCCCGGTTCTTCAGCCTTCAGATATTGACCTCTATGCAGGATGTTCTTATGGTCTTTCCTCATATATCTACATGTCTAGCTTCCTTACTTCAGGTTTTTAATTAAATATTACCTTCTATGTGAGGCCTTCACTTCACCTCCCTACTTATTACTGCATCCCTTGATACAGCTTCATCTCCTTTATTTTTCTCCATAGTATTTTTTAACATTTATTTATTTTGTTTATTATCTGTCTTACCCTGAGGACAGATTTTTGCATGTTTTGTTCACTTCCATTCCCCCAAGGCCTGGAACAGAATCTAGAACATAGGTACTCAATAACTATTACATAAATAAGTACTGAGTGAATTAATGAATGTCCCACTAGAACCTGACTCACAAAGGCAGGAGACTTTTGACTAGATGTCACTGCTCCTCCACAACCTCTGCCCTGGGCTGTTATATAATTGAAGACTCCCACCTTCAGGCAGGAGTGGGTAGTACACATTTGCTAACTACATGGCACTCCTTTTTGTTCTGACAATTTCAGTTTTCAGCTGGTCTCTGTCTCTTGACATCCAGAAGATCCCATTTTGGGGTGATTGTTTAAAATGAAAACAAAAAATTACATAACATGTATACTAAAATATTGGGACTAATAGTCACCCAAAATCAACTAGGTTATTTCAGGTTGTTTGAAAAATGTATCTAAACTTCACCAGATTCCTGCAATAATAGGGTCCTATGAGGACACATTAGGGTCACAAAAAGGCCAACATGACAACGGACATTTAAATGGAGCCATTTGAGATTCTACTGGAGCACTTCCAGAAATATAAAAAAATCTCCCTCATACTCAGATTCTTAGAAAGTATAGAATAAGGTAAATGAGGATATTTCTGAAACAGAAAGTCAGGTCCTTGAAGTAGGAGTCTACAGATTAATTTGATTTCATTCTGTAACTTTTCTAGGAATATAAAGTATTTCTATACACAATCAGATTTCTGAAAGCATAGAAACCAGAGAACTCATTTAGGATTATCATTTATCATCAATAAAATTAAGCAAGCAGACAATGTGTTTATAATAAGAAAAAGTAGGAAAATCTAGGCTCAAGTTGTGTTATTCCCAGAAATGTGGATATTTTCCCACACTTAACTTTTAAAAAGTACAGAATAAAACAAACCACAATGAAAGTCAACAATATGCATGAATGTTAGCAATGTAATGTTAAAAAGTAATATTAATGTAATATTAAAAGTCCAAAAATATTATATGCAGCATGTCCTCATTAGAAAATTAAACACCTAGGTTTATAATGCAAGTTTTAGGGGACATATGATTATAATAAAACTACATAAAAAAGAAAGTAAAGGAATCATATGCATAGGATCAATAGGATGGTTATCTTGAACAGGAAAGGCAGGGAGGATGGGTTGAAGGTATTGAACAATGTGACTAGATATAACTTATTCTCAAGATATTGTTGTGGGGGTAGGTTCACAGTTTCTTATTGTATTATTTAAAATAACTAAATAAAAGCAGACCATGCACTGATCAATGAGAATGTCATGAATCAAAGATTAATCATTAATGAAATCTCTATCCTTGAGATCCATAAATTTGACAGGGGAGAGACATGGTGATCAAAATTTCATGATGACATGAAATTAAATATAGTCAAGAAATAGTCAATGGCCCAAATTTCTGGATTCAGCTTCTGTTAAATGTTAGTTGGCTCATGTCAGTCAGCATCATTCCCATCCTAATAAAAAAAAGAGCTGAATATCTGAAAAAATCACAATTTTTCTTTAACTCATCAGAATGCTGAGGGTCCAATGCAACCAACTTATTGGAAGCTAAAGAAAGACACGCATGCCAACACTTGCTTACCTGGGATAGATGTCAGACACTGTACAGTTGCTAAGAATAACTAAAATTTAAATGGATGGCTAAAAGCTGAATTAGAGGCAGTATGAGAGTATGGAATCCCCAGGATAAACAGACATGAGAATTTTCACCCATTCACAGGTCTTCTCCACATATTTTACCAGGTGCTCACAAGAAAGACTGTGGACAGAGCAAAAGGCTAGAGAAAGCCTCCTTTATGGTGTAGAACTTGGATAGGAAAATAACAGCACTAAAGGGAAGGCTCAAAGTTCTGTTCATATCTTTCTTCCCTATCTCTAGTGGAAAAGATTGACAATATGCATGACCAGATGAGAAATTTCATCAGGAAAATTAAAAGTATAAGAAAGAATCAAGTGAAAATATTAGGAACAAAAAAATGCTAGAATACAAAAATGTTAATGCTAGTAAACAGAGATGAAGAATATCCTCTGAAGGTTCATCGGTAAACTTGAAACAGTGGTGGAAAGAATTAATGAACTTGAAGATAAATCAATAAAAATTGCCCAAACTGAAAGATAAAGATACAGAAGAGTGGAAAAAATAGAATAACATTCACAAGCTGTAGGACAATATGAAATGTCTAAAATATGTGTAACTGGAATACCAAAAGGAGAAGAAAGAAAACATGAAATGGACGAAATATTTGAACAGATAATGGCAATTTTTCCAAAAGTAATATAAGACACCAAACTAAACATCCAAAAAGTTCAAGAGACACCAGGGATAAAAACAAAAACAAACAAACTGAAACAATTTAGACACGTCATACTCAAACTGCTGAAGAACAAAAACAGGGAAACTCCTAAAGGCATCCAGAGACCAAAGAAACTTTACATACAAAGGAACAAAGACAGAAATAACAACAGACTTCTCATCGGAAACTATGCAAGCTAGAAGACAATAGAGTGTCATCCTTAACATTCCTTTTTTTTTTTTTTTTTAAGATTTTATTTATTTATTTGACAGAGAGAGAGACAGCGAGAGAGGGAACACAAGTAGGGGGAGAGGGAGAGGGAGAAGCAGGCCTCCCGCCGAGCAGGGAGCCCGATGCAGGGCTCGATCCCAGGATCCCGGAATCATGACCTGAGCCGAAGGCAGATGCTTAATGACTGAGCCACCCAGGCACCCCATCCTTAATATTCTTAAAAAGGAAAAGTAACCCAGAGTTCTACATGGAAAAAACCCTCCAAAAATGAAAACAAAATAAAGATTTTTTTTTTCCAGAGATACAAAAATAAGAGTAATCATTACCAGCAGACATGCACTGCAAGAAATGCTAAAGGAAGTTCTCCAATCAGGATGATAGCAGAAACTTGAATCTACACAAATAAATGAAGATTACTAGATATGGCATAAATGAAGGTAAATATATAATTCATTTTTAAATTATTTTTAATTGCTCTAAAAGATTATTTGAAGGTAAACCAAATAATTTAAGATGTATACTGAAAACCTGAAAGAGATCACTATTTTTTTTCAAATTTTTATTTAAATTCTAGTTAACGTACAGTGCAATATTCATTTCAGGACTACAATTCAGTGGTTCATTACTTACATACAACACCCAGTGCTCATCACAATAAGTTCCCTCCTTAATACCCACCACCCATCTAGCCCATCCTCCACCCTTCTTCCTCCATCTACCCTCAATTTATTCTCTATTGTTGAGTCTCTTATATTTTGTCCCCCCCCCTTTTCCCCCTTCCATATGTCACCTGTTTTATTTCTTAAATTCCAAATAGGACTGAAATAATGTGGTATTTGTCCTTCTCTGACTGACTTATTTCACTTAGCATAATACACTCTAGCTCTATTTGCATCATTGCAATGGCAAGATTTCATTCTTTTTGATGGCTCTGTAATATTTCAGTGTCCATGTGTGTGTGGGGGGGTGTGTCTGTGTGTATGTGTATTCTTTATCTATTCATCAGTTGATGGACATTTCAGCTCTTTCCATAGTTTGAGTATTGTTAATGGTTATAAACATTGGTGGGGTGTACCCCTTCAAGTCTGTATTTTGGTTTTCTTTGGGTAAATACCTAGTAATGCAATTACTGGATCATAGGGTAGTTCTATTTTTAACTTTTTGAGGAACCTCCATACTGTTTTCCAGAGTGGCTGGACCAGTTTGCATTCCCACCAGCAGTGCAAGAGGGTTCCCCTTTCTCCACACCCTTGCCAACATGTGTCATTTCTTGTATTGCTAATTTTAGTAATTCTGAAAGATGTGAGGTGGTATCTCACCATGGTTTCAATTTGTATTTCCCTGATGATGAATGATGTTGAGCATCTCTACGTGTGTCTGTTAGCCATCTGGCTATCTTCTTTGGGAAAATGTCTATTCACGTCTTCTGCCCATTTCTTAACTGGATTATTTGCTTTTTGTGTCTTGAGTTTGATAAGTCCTTTAGATTTTAGATACTAAC